GGAAAGAGAAGCTGGGCGGATAGAAATAACAGGTGTACACTGACTTGATTCATGAGCTTACTTATTAACTGAATTCTAACAGTAAGGCAGCATGGCTCTTTTCTGATATCTAGAGCTGCACTGTGTAATATGGTAGCCACTAGCCAAGTGGGGCTATTTAAATTTAGCCAATTAAAATAAAATTAAATTCCTCAGTTACACTAGCTACATTTCAAGTTCTCAATAGCCCTGTGGCTAGTACCAATACATTTCCATTATTATAGAAAATTTCAGATGTTGCTGATCTATAGCGTTCAGGTGCACTCTCCTAAATTAATTTACTTTTCTTTTTTAACTTACTATGGAAAATCATAAGTATATACAATAGTAAAATAGTATCTTGAGCCCCAGGCTTCAACAGTTAACCAACCTTTTGCTAATTTAGTATCTTACCTGCTGGGAGGGGCAGTATTATTTTAAAGCAAATCCCAGATATCACTGTATTATTTTATCTATAAATACTCCAGTATGTATCTCTACAAGGATAAAAAAGCCCCAATACTATTACCATACCCTAGCAAAAATTAACCTAAATTCCTCAATATTCCATCTAATACCTAATCCCTGTTTAAATCTCCTGATTTGTCTCAAAATATCTTTGAGTTTGTGTATTAGTTTTCTATTGCTGCTGTAACAAGTTACTGCGAATATAGTGACAACACATTCATTCTTTCCAGCTTTTTAGGTCAGAAGTTTGAAACGGTCTTAACGGGGCTAAAATCAAAGTACCAATGTAGCTACGTTCCTTTCTGGATGTTTTAGAAGAGAATATGTTTACTTGCCTTTTCCAGCTTCTAGAGGCTGCAATCCTTGACTCGTGGTCCCCTTCCATCTTCAAAGCTAGGAATGTTGCATCTCTCTGATGCTTATTCCATAGTCATAGCTCCCCCTAACCCCCAGCTGGGAAAGGTTCTCTGCTTTTAAGGACCCATGTGATTATATTGGACCCACCTGGAGAGGCCAGGATACTCTCCCCATTTCAAGGTCCTTAACTTAATCACATCAGCAAAGTCTCTTACCATGTAAGGTAACATTCACAGGTTCTGAGGATTAGGACATGGACATCTTTTGGGGGCTGTTATTCTGCCTACCATAGTTTGTTTGTAACAGGAGCTAAACAAGGTGTCGCCCATTGCATTTGGTGAGTGTGTCTAAATTTCTTTTAATCTCTAATAGCTCCCCTCCCGCATTTTGTTTAAAGTGAAGCTCTTTCTTCGAAAAAATTCATACCTTTTATTTTTTTTAGCTAGCATGTTTATTAGTTGCTCAAGCAGAGTGTCTAATAGCTATCTAAGACTCACTTGAAATTGTTTTTACTGTATTTAAGCTGGTTTTCTTAAGTAACTGTAATATTAATTCTAAGTGTAGAAATTTTTAAATGAGGGGAAATAGTTCACTTGGCCTCTCATCAGTGGAGAGAGGTGTTGTCTGGAGAGTCGTTTGGCTGCTTCCCAAGAGGCCTCAGGAGGTTGAGTTACTTGGGAGAATGTATTGTAGTCCAGAGTTTCATTTGCAGCATTGCAGGCTCAGAAACCGATTTCATCCAAAAATGGAGAGCACATCCATCTCTTGGGGTGACTCAGACTCACAGAAACCAAGTTCATAAGACCAGTGTATGAAAATGGATGCCAATTTACAGATGTAAAGTAAAACTTGCATCGTGTGGCCAGCAAATTCTTCCCTTCTCCAGGCAGACATGTGGGAAACTGAAGCATTAATTATGAGGGCAAATCGGAATTTGGGGAGTTACATGAATGCTTTACCTAGAGCATCAGGTAAGATAAGATTAGGGCTGATACAGGAAAAATGGCTCCCCAGGGCCTGAAGCAATACAGAGGGGTGTGTTTCCTGGGTATCTTCCTTCAAGACTGCCTTGTTACTGTCACTAGAAACTTGGCTTGAGTTTTCACTTCCATCGACAATACCCATCCAAGCATTGTCTGTTTGTCAGCTTTAAAGTGACTTTGCGTGTTTCTACTGTAATTCATTTAAATGTTCATCTCAGAGGTAGTTCAAAGAGGACAATTTTATTTCTAAGTTCTTTAGGGAAGCTTCATAGTTGCTCCTAAGAGCTGACAACACTGAGCATTGGGCCTGAAAATCAAGAACTTTTTAAGAGCTCTCCCTGTGTCCCAAAACATTCCCAGTTCTCTAGGCCTGATTTTCTTAGGGTCTCTATGCTTCCCTTCTTACCACAAATAGAGACTGAGGGGTGGATGACCAGTGAGCAAGGCGTTAAATGCGTTGTTGAGGCTTCTGCTTTTCCTGAGTCCTGGTAAATGGCTGCATGAGCTAGTCAGACTGTTATGTTATGGGATAGGATCAAGGAAAAGGTTTTGATATATCAGACAAGTATTTATTAAGTACCTATTATGCTTGAGGCATAGCACAGATACTATTTTGCTATATGGTATCTGGATAATTGGGATTCTAAAGTTATAAAGTAAGGAGCAGATTTCTTATATGTTACCAGTAGATTGATGAGTTTCAATTTGAACTTTTGTATAAAATCCCAATTCATATGTTATTTTTAGCTCTGAGACTTCTATGCACATGTTTGCTTTATTATACTTAACACAGAAAGCCTGATAAACTGTTACGAAATCCTTGGGTGTATTCTTTTAGAACAGGAAGAACAATAGCTAAAACATAAAT